GAATGTGCAGTAAATGGTTTGAACCCGGGGGTAACATGTGAAGGTGTAGTCTGATCGTCCGGGTGAGTGTAGTCCTGAGAAGGACTGTTGTCGGTGGTAGTGACTGACGTTTCGACAACCTGTGCGGAAGTCATCATCAGAGTCAAGTGAATGATTGTTGTCAGTAGAATGTTCTTATTCCAGTTCGTGTGAAATGATCGGTTGGTTTTGCCGTGATGTTATTGGCTGTAAGACTCAAGTGACGTAAGTCGGTCGTGATTGGTACGACTGCGTTGTGGTACTCTTCGCCTAACTTCTTTCGATACCCACTTGTCTCGTTTTGGGTTAATCTCCTGTCGAGTTCACAATCAAGACAGAATCCCTCCTCTATTTTTTTTAATTTTGCTCGATGAGCGCCTTTCTCTTTTAAAGTAACTGTACATGTAAAATGATATCGACCTTTCATCTTTCGAACTGAATTGATCATTAGAGAATTCGCTCGGAAAACGAGTTCAGTGACAAATATTGAATGAGTTTAAGGTACTTTGCGATTGACTGTCGTAAAACCAGAACTAAAGTAATCAAATAAACTAACCAACGATAAGTAACATAGACTGGTCGCTTAATGAAGTAAGTAATGAGGTTTAACTGCTACCAGTCATTAAGAGTAATAGATTTTCACTGTCAACTCTTGAAAGCTTTACCACTTTAGACAGACAGCTAGCATAATGAGAGAAAGGAAATGATTCTGCGATTTAATTTTCTATTCAAAGTGAGTGACGAAAGGAAGGAGAAATAACAACGACCGGTGGCCAACAATGTTTTGAAATAGGTGGCTCGGGGAAACGGCAAACGATGAAAAAGATGTTTCTTATTTCTGCCGCCTTCCATGCAAGGGATAGACTTTCATATACCATAGATACAAAAACAACTTTTCATTTTTCTTTTCCTCTTTTTAATCATTGATTTTACCGTCCGGATCAGAGAACAACTAATAGAGGACTACGACAAAAGAATCAATTAAATCAATGCTATATAATGGCTCTCTTGTGTTAATTTGCTTCGAATGCAATAAAGCCGTCGTCAAATTTTAGAAGGAAATTTTAGGAATCGCTCTTCTTTTTCAGCGAAAGTTTCATGATTACGGTTTCAGTAGAAGTAGAGCCCCCAGAAACTTAAAAGGTCTTCACTAGTTTTTAACTGAGTTTCAGGGATTTGCTGAACGAAGAAATCGTGAGTACTTCATAATATTTGAGGGTTCTACCT